AGACCATCATCTCACTTGGCACATCAACTGCCTAGAGATGTTGGCCATGTTTCAAGCTCTGACACAATTCCTTCCAGACCGAAGGGGACATCATGTGCTTGTCCGCACAGACAACACATCGGTGGTCTCCTACATCAATCGGCAGGGGGGTCTGCGTTCGCGCCCCTTGTACAAGCTGGCGCGCCAGATCCTTCTATGGGCTCAGGGGAAGCTCCTCTCGCTAAGAGCAGTCTATATCCCTGGGTATCTCAATCAGGGGGCAGACATCCTGTCGAGACAGGGGCTGAGGCCCCGAGGTGGTGGAGCTCCTCTGGAGGGAATTTGGCCAGGCAGAAGTGGATCTATTTGCCATACTCCCTGCAGTTAATCCTAAGGCTGCTTCGACTCCGTTGTGCTTTCAGCAAGTGGTTGGAGGCAAGGTGTGAACTACTGGGGAGCTCGGCTCCCCTTAATAATACATGGGCTCCCCTGAAAACGTGATTTGTGAAATTTTGGTGGGTCTCAAAAAATATTGACAATGTGTTATTTTGACACGCAATTTCAGTTTTGTGTAATGTGATCATTGTGGATTATTATGTGTAAAATTGCAAAAATAACATTCATTCAAGCATAACGGCGATTTAAACCTAATTAACTTCAATAAAGATAACTATTCATGCTATTCTTGTCATGAGCATCAAGGTGTGGGGGCGCTGCGGTGCAAATTCCATTCATGTTTAGTACATGTTAACTCAAAGTTTCATAGAAAAAATATAAACGTTGGACTCTGTGGTGGATTCTGTGTTAAGGTAAGGCATGTTATTCGCAATTATGTGTTGTCACTGGGTTGTTATAGGTCTGTGTAACTCTCGATGTCTCCACTGGCAATTAATTTTACTTGTTTACCCCAGGAAACAAGACTAAATATCGTATATATTTTTTCTTATATAGAAAACGCATCATGATTTAAGAATTTTTTGATATTTGTACGAATCCTGTCATTAAAAGTGTAGATACGATGTAAATAAGAGATTCATTGTGCAGTGTTGAGCGCTTAATTGATTAACGGAACGTTGTGAGATCGCAATGAACTGAAGTGAGTGACAGCTTTCCTATACAACTTTCCACACACACAGTAATTCAACAACTACTTATACAATGAAATGGAAAAAAAAATTTATAAAATGAGCAGTCATATACACCAACGGGAGGAACAAAATGGCCAACCAAGGCCAAGTATATCTTACTTGCCACCCAGCTAACTCGTACACAAGTTAAATTACTGCTCATGAATGAAAAAAAATCCCATATAAACAAAGTTATCAAAAATAAGACCAAGACAAAACAAAAGTTAAAACAATTACTCAACAAACACAAAGCAGCAGTGCAGTCCCATCACTGATGTACATTCATCTCCAACCAAGTTACTGGAAACCCCTGGATGTGCAGTTACACCTGCTGAACATAAAACAAAAAGACTTACAATATTACACTCATTAAAACACGACAAACTCCCATCATACATACCAAGAGAGATTTACCATATAGCAAAATGCATGGTGGCACACCACGCAAGACCACGACCACTAACATGCTGTTGACCAAAAGAAGACAACAAATAAAGCCTCTCCTTATAAAAAACAATCCTTTTTAGAACTGGGAGACTAACCTGAAAAAGGCCTAGCTGCTAAAACACAACAACACAAGAATGCACCAAGCCCTATCCCTTGTTCATAATGAAATACTTCCACAAAGGTCTAGTACAGGGGTGGGCAAACTTGGCCCTTCCAGGCCACTTTCCGTCAGAGTTTAGCTGCAACCCTAATCAAACACACCTGATCCAGCTAATCATTGTCTTCAAGACTACTAGACGGCTATAGGCAGGTGAGTCATATTAGGGTTGGATCAAATCTCTGCAGGAAAGTGGCCTGGAAGGGCCAAGTTTGCCCATTACTGGTCTAGTACCAAGGATGATGCATCCTGAGTAATCAAACCCTTCCCTTTTTATATTATCAATGCCAACACTGATAGGTTCATGCTGGCATGACATCAGCCAATCATACCTGGGCTATACCTTACCCGGCTACATTCCACCCCCACATCAGGCATTGTCGCCCCGACGATGAATTTCAAACCTTAAGAATCATCTCAAGGCCTACCCCTCCACATTACAGGGATGGTTAAACCTATCCAAAACCTCAGGCAGCACACAAGCTGTTTGAACCTCCAAAGCCCCAGAAGGGAACTTTCATAGATGCTAATTACATGACCTTAATAAAAGCGTAAATTCTGCACCACAATGATACCCACATTCACTGGCATTAAAAGTACCCCAGCTTACCTACACCAGTGATGGTGAGGCCACCAATCTCATTAATAGGCCCGATTTAGGAGGCTCAAAAAGCATAAAGTCATGCAAAACTCGATCTGACCAATTTACAATTACTAATTGAATATGCCACCTACAATCCACTGTATCCTACAACTGCACACCTTGACGGAACCTTGCAGATGGAGTAAGGCAAATTTAGAAACCCCTGGATGTGGTTTGTTTGAACAGCAGGTAGGTATTTTTTTGTGTGAAGAGCTGAAACTGTTTATCACTTGCCATCTGCCAGTTTGTTGGAAGCCCATACTGAGAGTGGGAGGGAATTCTGGGGATGGGTAGCATCAAAATAGTATATAATAATACTGCCCTGAAGTATGCGTATAAGTATGCGAAAAAATACCTACCTGCTGTTCAAACAAACCACATCCAGGGGTTTCTAAATTTGAGATGATGTATAGTTTAACAGTCCCGAGGGCCAATGACACTTTAGGGACTCCTTTCCCATCACTACTACTGTAAAGAGAACTCAAACCAAGGAGGCTTACCCCAAAATTGACCTGCACGGCTCGTCAGGAACAGACTGACTTCGGCGCGAGCGCCCCCCCGGCATCCCTTCCCACTCCCATCTAAGGGCCTCACTACGAAGCTCCAACAAACTTGAAGAAGGCAAGCGAAGTACTAATTGTTTCAACTCTCAAAGCAAAGCGCTATCGGCCACATGTTCGACAAACTGATCACATACAAGGGCTTCCGAATTTGGCATATCATATGGTAATCGTTGTTCAACATGCTCCCAGAGGCCCATCAAAGCAAGGGAAAACTCTAATGGAGTCTCCCCTTCCCGTTGCTTACGAGAAAAAATGCCTCTTGCAAGCACCCAAATAACTCATGTAATGCCAAGATAATTTTAGTGGGGTCTCCCCTTTCAGTACTAGGGTGATAACGATTCTCCTCCCGTGCCTCCCCCTCCAAATGGTCAAATAGAAAAAATGCTTGATCAGCAATAGAAAGATGGCGTGCATGCATACATGCCTGCATGTGCCTCCTCAATCCATTCATCAATGCTAATGCCAGTCCTGCCACTAAACTTTGGGCATTGGCGATCACGAGGTATAAACACAAACCTTTCGGCTGGGATGGCACCAGCAGTGGTGGGTGGGGGCACAGCAACAGGAACTTCTGTGACACTAAAAAGAGACATAATTTGGCACAGACAAAACCAGATGCATGTTCTTGGCTCAATTTCTCATTATCAGCTTTTAACTGTGCCCCTAACTCCTGGTGTGAGGTGAAAATCCAAAAGGCCCCCGCTGGCCATTTCTCTCCTACTGGTTATTTCTGTAACTGGTACATTTGTGTATCTGGTTTGATTAAGATTTTGTGTTAAAAATAAAAATAATGTGTTAAACTAATGTTTCATTTTTGTGTATAAATAAATTGCTTAATTTTTATACCTTGTCCATGTCTCCATGCTCACCCTGCCTTTGGCAACGAACCTATGTGCCCTTGTATAGGGCTGTTGTGTCCCGGTATATTCCGGGTGGCGTAGACGACTATAGGATTTGTGTCCATTGTTATTGGTAACTTCCCCTACCTGACCACTCATTACCACATTTGGCGTAGTTGGCAGGGTTGGCCATAGTTCGGGGTGAGCTTGTGTGTTTTATTATAAGGTTTATTTTCTTTTTTCTTTGGAGACGTGGGCAGAGTGTTTTGAGTTTATATTTTGTTGGAATTGCACTGTTTGTTTTATTTTTGTTTTCTTTAAAGATAAAGCAGCCGTGCAGGTAAATTTTGGGGTAAGCCTCCTTGGTTTGAGTTCTCTTTACAGTTGGTAAGTTGTAGTGATGGAAAAGGAGTCCCTAAAGGGGCATTGGCCTTGAGCCCTCGGGACTGTTAAACTATACATCATCTCAAATTTAGAAACCCCTGGATGTGGTTTGTTTGAACAGCAGGTAGGTATTTTTTTGTGTGAAGAGCTGAAACTGTTTATCACTTGTCATCTGTCAGTTTGTTGTGTACTAGCTTTCTGACCGCTGTGCACCAGACCCCCCGAACCCAGCCACAGGAGGGGCTGTACGAGAAGATGGAGGGTGAGGGGGAACACGTTCCCCATCACAGTCCCTAGCGAAATGTCCGGGCTGCTGACATCTTCGACAAATTACAGAATTAGCACAGGAAGGTTGGTTCTGCAGATGTGGAGAATAGCTACGTGCCTGAGGTGCTTGACTGCACTCAGCAACTGCTTGTAGTCGGATATTTTTCTTACAAAAACGCATCGATTCGCTACAGAAGGCCTACAGTCTCTTTGTGTGTGCGTGTGTGTCTATTGTATTTTTCTTCCCCATTTATCAACTCCCAAAACTCCAGTACTTGCCGCTGAGGGCTGTTAAATCACTGATGGTCATTTGGGTTTATATTTAGAATGTCTTTCGAACGTGTTGCTTGTGCTTTGTTGTATAATGTCTTACTGAAATACACAATTAACACAATAACACAATTTTGTCTGAAATGTTTTCCATTTATATTCAAAAGGATAAAGAATAATACAACAAAATCTCACAAAGGCAAAATCAAAAAGTTTTAATACAAAAATGGGGAAAATATAAAAACATGAGATTTGACATATCAATAACAATATCACTCAAACTTTGTTCAGATTTGTTGAACCGAGGCAGTGGCTGTGATTGAGTCAAATGGCCACTTCTTTGTTTGACTCCTCCTCCACATCATCATAATCTGTTATTAAAAACACAATCTTAAACCATGTCAAATAATATAATTAGAAGAATATTTTAAAAAATTGAAAACTATTTAAAATATAAATATGTTAACATAATGAGAACAAAAGGGTTACAGTAACTTACCCAACAGGTTTCTCACATCTTCACTGACACTCATCACATCATCATACTCCTCCTGAACTCCCTCTGATCGAGAATGACATAAAAACACATCATTTCAGTTTATATCTCAGTCATCTCATTTGAAGGATCCCTTTTCCCTTAAAGGCACAATATGTAATTTTCGCCGCTGGAGGGCGTGTATTCAAAATAAACAAATAGACAAAGGTGTAGTTTGATGACGCCGTGACTGAGTGTGGTTTCATGGGAGTTGTGGTCTTCATCCCCACAGCCGATGCAATCCGACGGGACTCGGGCAGAAATCATGTTCATGGATGAGCTAATGATTTATTAACGTAGTAGAATGAAGCAGGGTGAGGCTGAAAGCCGTCGAAGCGAAACGAGGCTGCTGAACGAGCATGACACACGGCTCGAAAGCAGCGGAGCTTTTATTATGCCACAGTCGACTGCTTCTGCTCCTTCCAGTCATGCGTATGTGGGGGAAAAAACTGCTGTTTTATCATACTAGATACATTTGAAAGTTCTGGAAATCGAGGGCTTATGACGTCATTGGCAGGCGACACAAGGACACTATGGACACGGTCTGTGTCACTAGTTAAAATAGCTTATTTCTCTGAATTTAAACATTCTTCGAAACATTTGGGATAATGTAAGTACACAAGTCATCAAAATATATAACACTGTTCTAGTGGTTTTTGGATATTTTCATTAAAAAATCTTACATATTGTGCCTTTAAGTGACTTGATTTCACATAACAAATGACTAATACTCATGTAAACATGGAAAGGGTGATTAAAAAAAAAGAAGAAAACGTAGTTCTGTGCATCTCACCTGTTACACCTCGAGAGCTCGGTCTATTAATGATGACATCATCATAATTCTCAGGTGCGTCCACTACACATGCAAATAAGTCAAAATTAAAAGAGCCAAAAAAACATTAACATACAAATTTAAAATATTATCTGTTACAATCTTGATTTTAGAGGAATAAAAAAAAAAAGATAAAGTAAAACCTTTTTTGATCTCAGAGTTCTGTCCGCTCGTCATGACATCATCATAGCTCTCAGGTGTGTCTTCTACAGATTCACATTCATCACAGACACATATTCATTATATTCAGAACAAACGTGAAATATCTATCTTAAATATACTGTAATATTTTAATTGAAATGCTGCTGTAGAATATCAGAGTGACACCTGTCTCACGATCTGCTTTCAGTCCATCAGTGATGACATCATCATAGTATCCCGGTGTGATTTCCTTCATCGTCTCTTCTGCATCAACACACAATATGTTTGGATACAAAAGCCAAAAAATTTTCTTGTTGCAGATCATGAGACTGAAAATGTATTAAACATCTGGTAATGAATCAGGTGATCAATTAAAAAGGTCACTGACCTTTTAGACCACTGCTGTTGGTGACATCATCATAATATGCAGTCTTGAACTCTTTTGCTAAAAAAGGAGAGCAGACGGTTAATATATAAGTAAACAGCAGTATTTCAATAGTATTGAGTCATTAATCAAATATGTTACAGAATTTGTTAATTATATGTATTTATTTAGGTGAATTTATTATAAAGTTTTTTTTTTAGTAGAATGTGGAATGTATATGCACTTCAGCTCTCTAACCTGAGAGAAGCTCATCAGCATCTTCATACCCAGAATGCAGTTCTTCAGAGATGAGACTCCCTGTTAAAGGAGAGCAGAACCGTCAGAAACATGTTCATCATTACAGACTGAATCCTCATTTCCTTTCGATTATAAAGCATTGTGTTAGTGCTTTAAAAAATAAAATAATTATATTAAGTAATAAAGTAATTTAATTAAAAAAGTTTAAAGCATTAAATACATAAATCCCATGGTGTTTAGGCCTATTAGCAAACACACATGAACCCATTCCTCACTGCCTTCCAGAAATATACACAGGAAGAGACAAACACAGACACACACACACACCTGCACCAACTGTACATGTACAAACATAGGAGCCCCTGCTTATGACCCTCTAAAAATACACACAGGAAGAGACGCTGACTGACTGACAGACACTCACACACACACACACACAAACATGCACCTGCAGCTCTGTGGTTTTCTGTCAGGAATTCTGTGGTTTGAAGCAGGAGGTTTAACGGGACTAATAATAGATGAACATGAACTCTCTTATTAATGGTATTAAATTAGATTGATGGCTCATGTCTCACCCCTCTGAGTGAAGTGATTGTGTCTGTGCTGAATCTCCTCATAAACGGCCTCAGTCATCGTCCTGTGTCTCCTCTTAGAGAGAGCTGTGAGTGTAGACAGACAAACCTGCTGTCAGTTCACAACACATGACTGATCACACACTGAATAAGACACAATATGCCAGTCTCTGGATCTCTCCTACCTCTCCTCATCACTCTGTTCTGCTGAATCAGTATAAGCAGTGGCACTAAGAGCAGTAAGAGCACAACTCCCAGTACAATCACAAGCACTGGGGGGACGGAGAGAGACGCTGCTGGAGGAGTTTGTGGAGGAGATACTGATGTTGAGCGCACTGCAGGAGAAACTGGAGAAGTAGCTGATGATGTTGTGGCAGGAGTAGTGGACACTGACAAATCTGATAAATCTGTCAAAACAGACACAAACACATTAATATTCATGCAAATTACTGATTAAATACTCAACTATAATTAGCACTGAAATTATCAAGAAATTTTGCTGTGACCTTCACAGTTGAGTGTAACAAGCTTCTTGCGTGAGCAGTCAGTGTGGTTATTCAGGGAGAGAGGACAGTCCCACAGGTGAATCTCATTCCCTCTGCACTCGACTCTGTTCATCCACACAACACCTTCACCAGCACCAAAGACTGAATTCCCATCAGCCCTCAGTGCTGCTCCACAACCCAGCTGCCTGCAGACCACCTGAGCATCGCTGATGTCCCACTGATCATCACAGACTGAGCCCCACACAGCGTTATGATACACCTCCAGCCTCCCAGAGCACCGGCCCTCCCCTCCACTCAGTCTGAGAGGAACATGATCTAAAATACACACATTAACCACTGACCAGCTTCAGCACAACATTTACAACAAAACACACATTGAACCAAGATGGCTTTAAATGTATGATTAGACTTCTTGTTTGAATGTACATATTTCAATAATATATTTGGAAAATAAGGCTTACGTTGACTAAAATTAAATTTTATATATATATATAGTCAAAAACTTACCTGAACACTGTTTCTGGAGAGAAGATGGTGAGATAAAACATGTCAGACGACTCCGAGGAGACTCCTGATTCTCCTCCTCTGAGATTAAAACATGAAAAGAACTGAACATTACGATACAAAGGACATAACATCTTTCAGTAAAACATATCAGTGTAACAACATATAATTTAAGCCTTACAAATAATTTTATGCTCTTTCCATCAGCTAAGTTTAGCTTTTCTTAAACATTCGTTTTCTCACGACATATAAAAATTGTGTTTAAAGAAACATGACTACTGAGACCATTTTACATCACTTAAATATCATCTCACTTGAGCAGGTGATTTTGGCCACTTCATCCTTATTATTACAGTTATTCTGTCCCCAGGGTGAAGATGGACACTGCCATAAAGTGGAATCATGCCGTCGACATTTAAAATAATCAAGCCAATTATGAGGCTTCAGTCCCTCTGAATAACTGGGTTCACTGCTCGATCTTCCACAGTTCAGCTCTTGACAGATCAGACTCGCTGTGTCTCTGTCCATCTGGTTGTAACATAAATTTCCCCAGGATCCATTGTAGAAAACCTCCACATTCCCTTCACAGCCCTCAGTTAACCTGAACTCTTTAAATTCTAGATGGAAAGGGATGTGTATTAAAACAACTGCAATTCAGGTAGTGCCTAATTTAAAATATCACCAAAATAACTGGTTAATTCGAGGCTGATTCATGCTGCCAGCATCTAAAATATTATGGTCAGGCATCTGCAACATGCATTAGCCTTTTTTGGGGGGGGAAACAAAAAATACATTTATGGAGAACATTTCCTCTAGTGTACGGTTTACCTGAGCACACGACTCCTACATCCTCCTTGTGTTGACAGTCATGTTTTCCCCAGCCTGGAGAAGAGCAGCTCCACAGGGACGTCTCATTCCCCTCACACTCCACCTCATCCAGCCATATGGGTCCAGAACCAGGACCAAACCAGGCTGGTACCTGCTGGTTACTGAGGGCCACTCCACACTGCAGCTGTCTGCACACCACATGAGCATCTTTAATATCCCAGGAGTCGTCACACACTGTCCCCCATGAGCCGCTGTGAAAAACCTCCAGCCTCCCTGCACAGTCTCCCCCAGAACCCACCAGTCTGATGGACCCGCGAACTGATATTCAGAGAAAGAAAAACACATTATTGACCACAAACAACTGAAGAATCTGTCCAGATGTTGTTCTTCTCACCAAGGCAGGTGATTGACAGCTGTTGTGTGGAGCTGCAGTTGAGAGTTTGTGGAGAGCTGCAGTTCCCCAGATGAGCTTCACTCCCAGAGCACTGGAAGCCCGTCACACACTCATGACTGTGTTCAGGACTGGATGAAGAGGAGCTGTAGAAGTTCAGCACAGAGCCACAGCCCAGCTGTCTGCAGACCACAGAGGATTCAGTGAGACTCCAGGAGTCCAGCAGAACTCTCCTCCAGACCTGATGAATGAAAACTTCCACCTCCCCCTCACACTGTCTCTCTCCAGAAAACCGCACCAGACCATCAAAAAGAGCCAGAGAGGAACCTGAAGAGAGTATTTATTTATCATTCAGTATTTATCTAAATATATACTTAGAAGTAGTTTTAGTCTGGAACCCATGACTTCATCGCAGCATGAGTAGACTCACTAGAGCAGATGACTCCAACATCTCGTCTATGAGAACATTCAGCTCGACTCCATGAAGAGATGGAACATTCTGAGAGTTTTGTTTCATTCCCGTCACAATCAAACACATCAGCCCAGATTTCTCCACTTCCCTCTCCAAACCAGTCTGATCCCACAACAGACACAGCAATCCCACAATTCAGCTGTCTACAGAGGACACTGGCAGCTCTCATATCCCAGCATGCATCACACACTGTGCCCCATTTACTGCTATATTGAAGCTCCACTCTTCCAGAACAGGAGTCTGAACTGTTTACCAGCCTGAGATCTGTGTAACCTGGACAAAACATGAGAATTATTTTAAACAGTGTAAAGCAAGAGACAAGTTAAAGGCAGAATATGTAATTTTCGCCGCTAGAGGTAGCGTATTCAAAATAAACAGACAAAGGCGTAGTTTTATGACGCCGTGACTGAGTGTGGAATCATGGGAGTTGTCGTCTTCATCCCCACAGCCGATGCAATCCGATGGGACTTGGGCAGATATCATGTTCATGGATGAGCTAATGATTTATTAACGTAGTAGAATAAATCATTAGCTCATCCATGAACATGATGATTTATTAACGTAGTAGAATGAAGCAACATTCGTCGAAGCGAAACGAGGCCGCTGAACGAGCGTGACACACGGCTCAAAAGCAGCGGAGCTTTTATTATGCCACAGTCGACTGCTTCCGCTCCTTCCGGTCGTGCGTATTTGGGAAAAAAGCGGTGCTGTTTTATCATACTAGATACATTTGAAAGTTCTGTTATAATGCTACTCTGTGCGGTCGTCACCGGTCTAATAAAACACACAACATATTAAAGCGTCTTTGATGTTTCCATGTTTTCTTCAAAACAAAACGGAAATCGAGGGGTTATGACGTCATTGGCAGGCGACACAATGACACTATGGACACGGTCCGTGTCACTAGTTAAAATTGCTAATTTCTCTGGATTTAAACATTGTTCGAAACATTTGGGATAATGTAAGTACACAAGTCAGCAAAATATATAAGACTGTTCTAGTTGTTTTTGGATATTTTCATAAAAAAATCTTACATATTGTGCCTTTAATAGATCAGTAAAACTCTGCTAGCATAACACAAACAGGGCTGTTACATTTAAAATGTTATACTTTTCAATATTGTATTAAATCCCCAAAATAGTAACTAATCATGTTACATAGTCACATTTATGAAAAAGTATGTTACTTTACTTTTGCAATACAGACTTCTGTTATGTTCATCTCAAATTGGACTCAAATCAGTTTCTCCTAGTTCATAAATAGTGGTTGTTGATAATGGCATGGTATTTTTTTAAATCTTGTATAATTAGTTAGCAAATTAATGCTCAATCCGGTCAGGTTATGTTTGACAAAACAGTGCAAGTGACACATATTTAATAACTAAAAACACAATACAGAATAAACCATACACGTTCTGTCTAGTGTGTTTTTGCACATTTTAGTGTATTGTTGTCGGCATGACAACATGAAGGAGAGAGAGAATTTCAGTAACGTAAAAAAAAGCATATTTCTCATCAATTAATTGAAAAGTAACTTAACTCAGATATAATGGTGTGCTTAAAAAAAGTAATGCATACTTTTTACTTCTGAAAATTCAGATTACGTAAATTGCATTACCTCCCATATGCACACACACACAAATACATGGAGAATATATATATACTCAACCAGAACATATAACTCCAAGATCATTCTCATGGGAACAGTTGTTTTTGCTTGAAGATGTATGTGGGCAAAAATATATCTGAGATTCATTTCCTCTGCACTGAATCTCTTGTGTCCACATCTGAGCGTCTCCTTTGCCAAAAGCAGCTGCTCCCAGCACCTGTACAGGAGCCCCACAGTCCAGCTCTCTACACACAACCTCTGCATCCTGCTGGTCAAAGGTAGCATCACACACTGTGTGCCATGTGTTCCCATGAACCACCTCTATTCTCCCAGAGCAAAGGTGAGATCCGTTAATAAGTCTGGAATGTTTATGATCTGTTCATATTAAATAAAAGCACAAAAAATTTATTTATGCAGAGTGGCAATTTAAATAGTATATTTAAAACTCACAAAATTTGAATAGACATATTTTTAGTTTTATAAAATTGTGCCAATCTGTAGAACAATGACAAAATCACCATTGCATCAGGTTATATTTTTGCCCAAAAACATTACACGATAGTAAATTACCAAAATAAAAAGAGCAAAATTCACTAATCAATTGCACCCTCCCAAAGCACCATTTACTTGCACACACAAACATGCACACAAAATCTTGCTGAACACAATTTGCGCAGCACAGTTGGGCCAGTTCTGAGTGCTGTATTGTGGAGGATGCAGTGGACCATCACTGGAACCTGACAGACTCTGCTGGTACTGCACAGCACTGTCCAATCACAGAGATCGCCAAAAAAATTTATGTTATAAATTTATATTATTTATATTAAATAAATGTTAATTTACCCACTTAATTTACATAACAAGCCCTATTTAGATAGAAAGTAGGTGTGTTTGTGTGGGAAAGAACGACAATGACCTAACTGAATTACTCAAGACATAGTGCTATTTCGGTGCTAAATTTCCCAGTTAAAATTAGTTTGTGGATGGTTAGTAAATACTATGCAGCTTTATTTCGCTGATAGCATCCACAAGAATGGCAAAACTGTTTAGTGAACTTGCTCCAAAAGGTTTTGAAGAGCAATCTCATTCACCTGAACAAATGACTCCAACATCTTTATTATGATCACATCTGCTTTTACCCCATCCTTCTGATGCACAGTTCTTCAGTGTGGACTCAGATCCAGTACACATGACAAAACTCATCCAGATTGGTCCTGATCCTGGTCCAAAGTGAGCACCACCCAGAGCCTCTACAGGTTCTCCACAGTCCAGCTCTCTACACACCACTGCAGCATCAGCCATATCCCAGAAATCATCACACACTGTTCCCCACTGACCTCTATGAAACACCTCCACTCTACCAGCACAGCGACTGTTACCACCAACCAACCTCACATTTACTAGGTCTGTATTTCGAAGAAAGAGAATGAAACAAATAAATATTGAAGGATAGAAAGAAAGGAAAGTTGAGATGACAAAAAAAATGCTTACAAAATACAAAATTTTTACTCAATTAAAGGAAATTAATTCCAACCTGCACACACCAACCCAACATCACTGTCATGAGAACAGTTGTTTTCATGTGATGGTGATGTTGGACAGAGGTGAATCTGAGATTCATTTCCTCTGCACTGAATCTCTTGTGTCCACATCTGAGTATCTCCTTTGCCAAAAGCAGCAGCTCCCAGCACCTGTACAGGAGCCCCACAGTCCAGCTCTCTACATACAACCTCTGCATCCTGCTGGTCAAAGGCAGCGTCACATACCGACATCCACGTCTGATTATGAAGTATCTCTAACCTCCCAGAGCAGCGAGAATCTCCAACCAGCCTGACTCCTGAACAATGAAAGAAAAAGAAACATAGTTAACACTTTATAATAAGGTTCGATTTGTTAACATCAGGTAATGGATTAGGTATCATGACCTAATAAAGAGCAATCATTTAAGTTATAAAGTTAATGTTAATAAATATACTATTGTTTTTTTTTAGTTCAGGCTTGTTCATTATAATACATTAGTGTTCATTTATACAAACTGCTATGTTAAAATTGTATATGTTGAATATATAGTATAAATACTAGATTTATAAATGTTGTAGACATATGAGTCTTTCTAACAAATTTAACTTCATTGTTATGTGTTATCAAATATGAAATATATGTATGTAAAATGCTTATTTTTATTTATTTTTTTGTCATGAAAAAATACTAGTACATTTTTAACAACATAATTCTTGACATTATTGGTCAACCAATAAGAATTATTAAATAATTTAAAAGTAAAAAAATAGTTTTTTTTAACTAAACAGTTAAAATAAATCTACATTTTAATGAGAGGTTGATTTGAGGCAGGCTGTTCATCACTGAGGACAGGTTTGAAGCAGTTTACCTGAGCAGATGACTCCAGCATCTCCATTAGGACCACAGCCTTGCCCACCTTGTCCTAATGAACCACAGTTCTTCAGTGTGGACTCTGATCCAGTACACATGAGAGTACTCATCCAGATTGGTCTTGATCCAAAATGAGCAGCACCCAAAGCATCTACAGGTTCTCCACAGTCCAGCTCTCTACACACCACTGCAGCATCAGGCATATCCCAGAAATCATCACACACTGTTCCCCACTGACCTCTATGAAGAACCTCCACTCTACCAGCACAGCTACTGCTACCATTTACCAGTCTCACATTCACACGGTCTAAATATTGAACAGAAAGAATGACAGATGACGAGACAGTAGAGGACAGAGACAAATAAATATTGAAATTGTGAAGAAACAAGGACATAAAAAATACTGTATTTAAAAAATGCTTTTTCTTTTACTTAAAGAAAAATTAATTCCAACCTGCACACATTAGTCCAACACCATAGTCATGTGAACAGTTGTTTTCATGTGATGGTGATGTTGGACAGAGGTGAATCTGAGATTCATTTCCTCTGCACTGAATCTCTTGTGTCCACATCTGAGCGTCTCCTTTGCCAAAAGCAGCAGCTCCCAGCACCTTTACAGGAGCCCCACAGTCCAGCTCTCTACACACAACCTCTGCATCCTGCTGGTCAAAGGCAGCGGCACACACTGACATCCACGTTTGATGATAAAGTATCTCTAACCTCCCAGAGCAGCGAGAACCTCCAACCAGCCTGACTCCTGAACAATGAAAGAAAAAGAAACATTGGTAACACATCATAAGGTTCATTTTGTTAACATCAGTTAATGCATTCGGTATCATGAACACATAATGTACAGAACACCATTATTTTGAATCATTCATTGACCTAGGTTAATGTTTAATGTACTACTGATAATTTTGTACTCAGACTTGTTTATCATGATGTATTAATCTTAATTTATACAAACTGATTTGTTCAAAAGGAATATGTACATTGTAAAAAAAATTATATTTTTTGAAGTTGTAACAAAATGATCATTGGAGTACTTTTTATAAGAAAATACTATTTCAGTCTTTCTACTTCAAAATTTCATGTTTAAATTAAATGAGTTTCTTGTAAATTATTGTGAAATATTCAAGCAACTTCTGTTCAATTAATGTTGTAAATGCATGGTTATTTTTTCATAAAACAGTGTTAGCCTCATTATAATGTGTTAACAAATATTAAATATATGTCTGATGCTTATTTTAGACGTTAACATTTTACTCTCATGAAAAAAATACTGGTACATTTTCTAACAATATAAATCTTGTCGTTGTTGTTCATTAAGCACCATTTATTAATGTTAAAAGAAAAACATTTTTAAAATTTGGAAATATACACATTTTGTTGTTGTTTGTTTTTTAATCTATTAATGAGAGGTTGATTTAAGGTAGGTGGTTCATCACTGAGGACAAGCTTGAAGCAGTTTACCTGAGCAGATGACTCCAGCATCTCCATTAGGACCACAGCCTTGTCCACCTTGTCCTAATGAACCACAGTTCTTCAGTGTGGATTCTAATCCAGTACACATGGCAAAATTCATCCATATTGGTCCTGATTCTGGTCCAAAATGAGCATCACTCAGAACATCTACAGGTTCTCCACAGTCCAGCTCTCTACACACCACTGCAGCATCAGCCAAATCCCAACCAGCACCACACACTGTTCCCCACTGACCTCTATGAAGAACCTCCACTCTACCAGCACAGCGACTGCTACCATTTACCAGTTTCACATTTACACGGTCTAAATAATGAACAGAAAGCATGAGAGATGAAAAGACATTAAAGAGAAGAAACATTAAGATAAAAGAATCAAACACAATGAGAAAAAAATAAATAAAAACACTTCCAGTACAGCACCTTCACTAATATTAGCATCCTTGGCAAAGTACAAAAGTCGGTAACACTTTAGAATAATGGTCCGTTGTTAACAAGTAACTATGCAGGAAGTAATAGGTAGTACTACATTAACACTTAACTTAATACTATTAACTAATAGAGAAGCAAGATTAACTAAGCAGTAAGTAGTAGCAAATTTAGGACAAAGGTAGTTCCTTATTAGATATTTGATAATTACTAAGAAAATATATCCTCATTGAGAACTACTTGCAAACTATGACCAATTAATAAAGAATAACCATTAATTATTAATCACAACAGTAACGTATTAAAAGTGAACAATTGGGTTCTTTGTGGAAACTAATTTATGAATATGATATCCCCCAAATAAGTTGGCAACATTTTAAAATTGTGACTACTACTCTTACCAAAGGATGGATGTTCTTTGTTTATTTCAAACAAAAACATAAAATAATAATAAAAAATAATTCATTTAAAAATGTTAATAATTAGGAAGTGATTGAATTAGTTCACAATTATGAGCTCTAGTTAGTGTCAGTTCAGTATGTCTCCGACTCCAAAATACTTATACCTTTAGTGACAGTAGGCTGGGGAGGACTTTTCTTAAATATAAATAATGATGTTCTCTTGACAAAAACCATTCACATCCTTAATGAAGGAATCGACTGCATTTATATTGTGTTAAGCACAAAACCGCATATTCCAGATTACAGTGTCTGGTAAAATATCACTAGTGCCTCACACAAATGTATGACTGCACAGTATGTGTCAGATATAAAATATGTTAAATAACTTATTAAATTACTTAGTAATTACTGAGTGGTTAAGGTGTTTTTCACTTTAAAATAATGGTCCAGGTCACTAGTAGTTCCTGCAGGCTGACAAGGTAACGCTTGAGTAATTAGTGAGAGGCTAATGTATTTTTCACTTTAAAGCTAAAGTGCTACTAAGGAACTACTAGTGATCTGGACCATTATTTTAAAGTGAAAAACACATTAACGCCTCAGTAATTACTCGCAAGTAAATTCATAATTTATTTAACATAGTAGTAGTAGTCACAATTTTAAAATGTAGCCGACATATTTGGAAGATATCAAATTCATAAATTACTTTCCACAAAGAACCAAATTGTTCACTTTTAAGACGTTACTGTTGTGATTAGTAATTAATTGGTTATTCTTTATTAACTGGTCATAGTTCACAAGTAGTTCTCAAAGAGGATATTATAATTTAGTAATTATCAAATATCTAATAAGGAACTACCTTTGTCCTAAATTTGCTACTACTTACTGCTTAGTTAATCTTGCTTCTCTATTAGTTAATAGTATTAAGTTAAGTGTTAATGTAGTACTACCTATTACTTCCTGCATAGTTACTTGTTAACAACGGACCATTATTCTAAAGTGTTACCCAAAAGTCTTAGTCTGTAATTCAAAATACTAGTAAATCTATTACTAGTAAAATTATTGACAACTAAAATGTTTAGTGAATTTATTAGTTAAAAATGCACAAAAATGTGTGCCACAATTATTAGCTGTGCCAGAAATTAATGTAAGCAAAAATCTTCCTTAATTATATACCCATTCATATTATACATTCTTAAGTTCACCTGAGTGATCAGGAAAACTTCCTGTTTCGCTGGCCAAAATCCTATAGTCATCCATCACTATACAGTAAGTATGCGTGACAAAGGTTGTTGAGTCACACAGATCAAGAAGTGGCTATATAAGAAAATAGATTCTTAATTAAGAATGCCCATCATGGCAAAAATTAAAAAGTTTGGATCAACTGGAGATGCTAACAATTGGCTTAGAAAAGTATATTGATACTGAAATGCTGCCTACAGTTTGCCAGATGTTCCTGGATCTTTCCGTAGCTACCAGTCCCATGACCCAAAGCCCACATAAAACCTGCTAAATGAGCTAAAGGAGAGATTCCACGTGCATGGAGCTCTGAGTCTTAAGAGATTCTATATAAAGGAATAATTTCAGATCCTCTGCAATGTGCTCTCCAATCTTATTATAAGAGAATACTTATCTTGGCAAAGAGATGTTACCTTGGTATAGTGAGCTTGTGCAAGGTATTAAATAAAACTGGAAAAAAAATCTGAAAATTAATTTTTGTCTTTCAATTATTGTAATTAAAGTTTACATTTATGTGAATATTTTGATTGAAAGACCATGAGGAAAAAGACATTTTTTCACAGCCTGTTTTGCTCATATTTACCAAAGATACCAAAATTAGTGGAGAACATATTATAATCATTACATTTAGGGATTTGAATCTAAAGTGGAACCTGCACACACTAGTCCAGCGATGTATTCATGAGAACAGTTGTTTTCATGTGAGGGTGATGTTGGGCAGGAGTGAATCTGAGATTCATTTCCTCTGCACTGAATCTCTTGTGTCCACATCTGAGCATATCCTTTATCACAAGCAGCAGCTCCCAGCACCTGTACAGGAGCCCCACAGTCCAGCTCTCTACACACAACCTCTGCATCCTGCTGGTCAAAGGCAGCGGCACACACTGACATCCACGTCTGATCATGAAGTATCTCTAACCTCCCAGAGCAGCGAGTTCCTCCAACCAGCCTGACTTCTGAAACAACACGGATCATTTAAATAGTTGTTAACAACAGCAGCAATAATAATAGTATATTTATAGAAAATATATTCCTTAAATTTAGATTTCTCAGAGATATATTTTTTTAAATCTCTGAATTTTTTTTGCAAATATTTACAGTAATTTCTGATAATTTCATAACATGTAAAGAAAAATGTTCAAAACACATACACGGGTGGAATTCTTATCACACATTTAGGGAGAAAAACATTACAAAAAGCACTAGCAGATGCTTTTTAATTGAGACACACACAAAAAACATTGAGGAGTTTAAACTTTTTGTAGAGTTAATTAACAATTTTGAGCACACACGGAAGAGATGTACAGATGTAACATCTGATACAGATGTTTTTTTGTTTTTTTGGTATACATGTACAACCTAAAACATATTAGAGTTTATTAGACTCTAATATCAGAAAAAAATATTAGAGAGTGATGTAGTAATTTGGAACAGCTCACCTGAGCAGATGACTCCAGAAACTTTAGAATGAAGACAACGAGATTTACCCCATCCTGATGAGCCACAGTTTTTCAGCGTAGACTCTGATCCAGTACACATGACAGTACTCATCCAGATCGGTCCTGTTCCTGATCCAAAATGAGCATCACCCAGAGCATCTACAGGTTCTCCACAGTCCAGCTCTCTACACACCACTGCAGCATCAACCAAATCCCAGCTATCATCACACACTGTTCCCCACTGACCTCTATGAAGAACCTCCACTCTACCAGCACAGCGACTGTGACCACCAACCAACCTCACATTCACACTGTCTGTTAATTTAATAGATGAATAACAGATTAATTGAAAGAGGGAATGAACAAGATTGGGGGAGGGGGGGAGAATGGGAAAACAGAGGGAGAAAAATGGGGAAAAAATACAGCTAATTACATCTAATAAATATATTAATAAACGGTTAAATAATGTACTGTAGATAATGTGTGACAGTCAGCAGCAGCATAAAATAATTGCTTAATGTTGCATTTGAGATTATTTTACTCCTTAATTCAAAGTATAAACCTACCAGAGGTGATGAGTTTTATCAGAAGCATCAGCATTAGACAGGTCTTCATCTTCTCCATCTGCTCAACTATTTCATCAGCTCAAAATGCAACACAAGTTTCTCCGCAGCTCCCTCAAACACTCTGAAGAATCTGACTCCTGTCAGCCCCCTAAAGAGAGAGTATGTGCCAAAACTTTCCAATCAAGATCATCATTACCTTATTAGACAGAACAGAGGAAATCATCAAACAACTTCAGTGACAAATCAGAGGAGGCATTTCTGATTTTCTCCATATATATCAAATGAACGTCAGCGCTGAAAAGAACTCCTCCTCCTCCATATAGAGACTCTTCAGTGAGGTTACGCACACACACTCCTGCCAGAGGCAAATATAGTCACACATCATACAGGAGACACTAAAGATTTCAGAGAGAGGAAGCACTCCAGGATATTTACAGCATCAACACCTGCTGAGATACAGAGACTGATAACTGCTCACTTCAAACTTCATATCATCCTGTTTTCCTCATTCCTTAAATTGTGACACCCAGCAAATAACAATTTCTTATTCCATTTTCTCAAATATATATATGGATGGATAAGTGCTGTCAAATCAATTTATCGCATCCAAAATAAAAGTTTGTTTGCATAGTATGTGTACTGTATATATGTATATATAAATACACACACATGCATGTGTATATTTAAGAAACATATGTTGTATGTATATATTAAATATATTTATACATATCAATTATTTGAATATAAATAAATACATGTAAATATTTTCAAAATATATACTGTATGTGTGTGCATTTATATATACATAATAAATATACACAGTACACACATACAGTATGTGTGTGTGTACTGTGTATATTTATTATGTATATATAAATGCACACACATACAGTATGTGTGTGCATTTATATATACATAATAAATATACACAGTACACACACATATATTATGTAAACTTTGACTTTTAACACACTTTATCAAAACATCTAAAAACAAACACTACATTATACCCCACACATATCACATTGCAATGTGTTCAGGAGGTATGAGAGAGAGAGAGAATTTTGAATTTTAGAATATCTTTATAATAACAATTTTCTCTTAAAATACACAATTATTCATGCTTCATTCAGAAACACTTTTTTCCTTCTTTTTCACATACATTTTTCAAAGTCAACATTTCATTGTTCTCATATAGAGTACACAATACCTCATTAACACCCCAGATATCTATAAACTTTGGTAAACAGTCCACCAATTTGTAGTAAGCAAACTCTACTTTTAGTCTAGCTGCCACAAGTCCTAAAAACACAGGAACCAGACTCTGCACACTAACATGGCTGCTGATTACGCCATATTTCCTTTGGCTCCATAACATTAAATGTGCCATTAACACACACACAGAGAGAGAGAGAGAGAGAGAGAGAGAGAGAGACTTTTTGACTTTTAAGCTCTTTATTACAAAAAGTTTAAAAATTTTAATTAACATCAAAAGAGAAAAAAATAATACATGTTTGGTGCAAATTTATAAAACAAACATTACTCAAATATAAATTTGCAAAACTTCATCAGAGTCAACTTCACAAATGCATTGATTAACTTCCCATTTATATTTGAACATCTGCAGATCATTTATCAACTTATAATAACTATACTCTATACTAATACGGGATTTTATTAATCCCTTCAGTATTGAAATAGCATCAGTTGATCCTTTATCATTCAATTTACTTTTTCTTGACAACCATATAGCCATCTTTGCTTGCCCAAATAAGAAGTTTAATAAAACATGACTCCTCATTTTACTTCTGCTGTACTTTGGCCCAAAAATAAACCTTGCAGGAGCAAATAATTCCCCCAGGTTTTGACACCACTCTTCCATTTTATAAAATAATGGCTGTAATCTCCCACAATTAAAAAATAAATGAAAGACAGT